GAGCTGAAAGAATCTCACAAGCCTTCTGCAAAGGCTGTCTAGGAGGATGCCGGAACCTGTTAAATTGTATTCCAATGCTGTTGCCATGTTTTACGCTAGAGTCTTGTTTTAGGCTGGTGTCTTGATTAAACAGTTTTGTTGTGTTTCATCTTCCTATGTGCCTCCCTCTTCTCTACATTATTCAAAATTGGAAATTCCATAAACAACACATGCCTTTTCTCCATTAATAAGCAAATTTTAAAGCAGGACTGAAAATGTCTGGGTTCTCTTCCCTTCTGCCAGCCGTGCATTCAATAGGACACCCTGCACACCACAAATCTGCATAATTGCAGAGTTTGTTTTAACAGCCTGCACAGACTGACGTTTCCTTTTTGTCTGAGTCTCCTTTGTTCTCTTCTTCCCTCCTCAAACACATTAGTGCCTCCTTTGCACAGTAAAAATATGCAAATAATTGTTAATAATAACTTACAGGGGAAATGCTCCTTAGCCAAGAGTCTCACTGATGTGTCTGGCAAGACCAGGAATCTCACGACCAGAATAAGCTGAATGCATGAAGCTTTTTTTTTCCCTTGCAAACTGGGAAAGTGGGTTACAAATAGCGCCCTATTAAATAATGAGCATTACTGTGTAACAATCAATGATGAAGTGGTCAATTTGAGGTGCAAGATCTCCACATGACAGGATACATGTTAGTCACTGATGTAAACCACTTACAGTAGTATTAAGTCAAGCATTCAATGAATGTGATAGATATATAGACAGACAGACAGACAGACTGACAGACAGACAGACAGACAGACAGACAGACAGACAGACAGACAGACAGACAGACAGACAGACAGACATTATCCCACCCACACCCAAGAACAGCAGTACAAGACATTCCAAAATTTTACCTTTTTATACTACAATTCCCAGAACCTCTAGCCACAATGGTCTGGGACTTCTGATGGTTGTAATTTTTTTTTATTTTTTAAAAAAAACACAGCTTTCCTAAACTCCTATAAAGGCTAATACAGTAAAGATAAATAAGTCATCCAATTGAACTAAACAGAATTAAGGAATCAACTCCCCTGCCTCTTTGTTTCATCAGAATATTTTTTTTAAAAAAATCAGGTAATATCTTAAGCATGTGAAAGCCATGAGTTCAAAAGATCTTTACTTCCAATGTGTTTAATATGTTAAATGACACACACAGTGAGCGCTCTAGTTCTCTGAAGGTCAACACCCTGCAGAATTCCTCTTTCAGTATTAATTCTACTTATTAAAATGTCACTTTCTGCTGTAGCATAAAGAAACACAGCAAATCCAGCCAAAATGAAGCACTTTTTAAGTACTAGTCATTCCATTTCCTCTCTACTCAACTAAAAACATCAATGAGAATTGGAATTCCTCCCCCCCACCCACTCCCTGGATGGTATCAACGTTTCAGCAGTGGCATTTTAAATGCAGGAAGAGCTTAACCTCAGAATGTTGAAGGAGCTACATCTAAGTTACGTTTTAACACAAAGCAATTTAATGACAGCTTCTCATGTAAGTACATCCTACCGCTGCCTCCCTTCTCTGAAAATGTCAATATATACCTGTTATATCAACCGGGACAAATCCCAGAGACCTCAGCTCATTTTTCAGTCAGTCCCTAGACAAACAGGGCCATCAATGTGATAAAAATAACAGAATTACTTTTATTCTAAGACATACAAGTTCATTACTGGATGTTACAGGCAGGCAATTTCAGCTTACACAGTTATGAAAAAAAAACAGGTCTCTGAAGGCAGCTGATAGAGGACATAATGTTTGTGTAGAAGTAATCTTGTGAATATATGCCTTCAATGCAGACAAAAGTGTACATGCTTGTCACCGAGACTGAGAAAGTTTGCGGGGGAGGGAAGGTTACTATAAAAATAAAAAATTGTGAAGTACTCCATGTCACTACAGATTCCACCCTCTCCCCAAAATGTAAAAATAAAAAGGATTGTTTGATATGATTAATAGTAGTGTTGGGGAACATGTAGCCCTCCAGATGTTGTGGGATCACACAAGACAATCACAACTTCCATTGGCAATGCTGTCTAGAGCTCCTTAGAGTTGCAGCTACACATTCTCCAGCCCTCCACCTGGACCTCTTCATTGCGAGAAGACACATTTGAATTGTGATACTGTTATATTGATATGTTACTTTTACATATATATTGCAGACTGGTGATTGACACTGTATAGTGTGCATATATATGGTTTATGTACACTGTGTATTGAGAGTTAAGAATATATAGCTCTGTTAGCTTTTTCGCTTGTTACTAGAGTTCAATATATAAATGTTATTATAGGCTGTTTTTACTGATTATACAGTGTTTCTCTTTAACTGCACTCGTCTATGTTCTTTCAGTTCTCATAGGGATAACAGCAAGTGGCCCTACAGATGCTTCTGCAAAAGTGAGAAGGTGACCTAAAATACCTATCCTCACCCAAGCACCCTGGAGCAAACCAGGGTACTTTATAGACAAAGTAAATGGAATTAAACAAGGCACATGTTTAACACATATTTAGAAGAGGTGTTCTCTCAACTGATGATAGATTTCTGTTTGTCACAGCCTGTGATTTTGCTCACCTGTCTTGCATTTGCATGCCTTCTTTTGAGATTGGTCACAAGAAGGTAAACATGAGCTTAATTTGCCACTAACTTACAAGTCCAGTTACTGAGATATATATTTCAAAGGTAATCCATTCAGTTGATCACAAGGAAAATGCACTCCCCTCAACCTCTAATTTAATCCACAGAATGACACCTAATGCAATGATACTGGAAACCATCACTGTAGGTATACTTCCAGTCCAGTTGGAAATTCACATTGTGAAGGCAAGACTCAGGCATTCCACTAGAACATTTTCAGCCAAGAGAGAAAATGCAACAGGGAAGAAGCCCTAGGTTCACATTCCTTGAACAGGTACATCTTGTTTCTAATTTGAGAAAAACACTGTAAGCAAGCTGATTAATGAATTTAAAAGTGAGTCTCAGTTTGCCAAGATGGTATCTCCTGTTTAAAATTCAACACATTACTGCACCTTCAGTGGCTGATTTTTATCTTTTCCGTTTCATGTCCACCTTTTCTGAGAATCAGTAAAGAGGCACATCCCTCAAGGAGACAGTGCCATTAAAGCCAAGATCATGCAATCACATCTCTTTTAGAGAATGAAGTGTTTGTGAAATTGTAAAGAGGGAGGGGGTGGAAAATAATGTTACAGCATGCATTGCAAGCAAGCTCACTAATGATTTTAAACTTTAATGATCTGTAGTACTCATTATACTTCACAGAACATCACAGTGGCCAGTGCCTGCTGTTAAATGAAGTGTTATTACACAGCTTAGAGAAAGATAAACAAAACTGCAGAGTTTAGTAATGTGCATTGGAAAAATAGGTCTGGAATCTTATTCCAGCTGCTAGTCTTAGCCTTGGCCAGTAATTTATTCATTCCATGCCATTCACAAACTCATTTCCACTATTAAATAGTAAAGGGCATTTTTATTTATATCTGCATATTCTCAGCACCGTGTGCAGACAAAGTAAGTTTAAAAATAGTGATATAGGCTAGAGACCTTTGGTAACCTAACAATCAAAATCAGTTTCCTTTCAATATGGGGATACTGCACAAAGATGTTATTATGCATTTCTCCCTCAAATTACACAGATCTAAGCAGCACGATTTTGGTTATACTCATCCCCCCCCATCAATAATTAAATAAATGTTTCATTAAATCTTTTTTTTTTTTAATCCATAAATACTGTGCTGCTTTTCATCTCCAAGAAATGGCCTGAGAAAAGTGGGTCTCGGGTTTACCTAGAGCCCTGTTAGGAATATGGCAGCCCCTGGTTTAATGGTGGTGGCCCGGACAGACCCCTCAGATGATTCTGAGACTCACTAGCTAGTTTGGATGACATCTCCTATCACAGGTATTCTGGGCTGTCCCCTTGCCATGCAGCATATTTGAATGCCTTTTAAAGGACCATTTTGGAGAGCTTTGTTCACCAAACCAGAAGTTGATTTCTTGCTGAGAAATATGAAATGATCGGCCAGGATTAAAGATGTCAAAGAATTTCACTAGTTCAACAGTCTCAGCAAAAAGTAGTTCTTTTTTTTGTAGCTCCCAATAAGCATTTCCAAAAAAAATAATGCAACATCTCTCAAGAATTTCTACATCAGCAAGACTCAAGGGGCTTTTTTTGGAGGAATAAAATTCTGCTTAACTAGGAATGCAATTTACAATACAAAGAGCTAAAATGCATCCAATTCAAGCACAATTCTGCACAAACACACCTTAATCAATGTGGAAATTAACTATAAAGCAGGTAAAATGCATTAATAATGGTATAAATTAAGCAAAAGGGGTAAATAAATGCGCATGTTAGGAAAATGTAAATATACTTTAATGGAAGAAAAAGCAAAGTCTTGCAAATTGATACAGAAGGAATAGAGGAAGTAATACATCTAGGATTCAGAGGAATGCAAGAAAACTGGGACTAGCCAAGATGTGTTTACATTCCTGGTTAAGAGCAAAAGAATAAAAATTTAGATAATAATCTTTAAACTGCAGAGTTGGAAGGGACCCTATGGTTCATCAAATCAAGCCCCTGTCAAAGAGGTCCACTGGGGAATCAAACTCCAAACATTTGGTTCCACAGCCAGATACCTAAACCACTGAGCTATGCATCAGTTCAAAGAACCCTGATGGATTAGGTTCCACCTAACTCTGTTCTTAGCAGTAACCAGCAAGATGTCTTCTGCAACCCCATAGTTGCAAAATATAAAAGCAACAATTTATTGTACTGTTGCCTACCCACCTATGATATCTACCTGAATACTCTGCATCTGAGCGCAGACATTCTATCATGCATATTACATCACTACTGTCCATGAATTATAACATTTCATTACGCTGTGATCAAATGTATCTGTGTTTCCATTCCATTTGCTTGTTGAGAATATAGATCAAAGATAGTTACCCTGATAGGTCTTCCATCTGGTGTGAGCACTTCCTCTGACAGTTCCATCATCTTCAGGGCCATCAAAGCTATGGGCTTTGCATGATTCAGGTTCTGCCTGTGCAGCCCTGCCGCAACGCAGTATGCATCGCCTATTGTTTCCACCTGGAGCAATCAGACAAATCAAGTGCGTAAGTTGAGATAATGAGGCAGGAATTGGTATGATGAAGTATTTGCAATCACTTAACGTTGCTTAAAAACATATCAACACAACATCAATAAGACCAGCTGCTAGACAACAGAGTATAACGATCTTCCCAAGTCTGCAAACAAGCACCATCAAATTCTGACATCTTGTGGCACAGCAATCAAGGACCAAATCATTTAAGTCAAGGGCATCTTATATAGCCAAGTGGGCTCCAACAGAATCATACAAAAAGGGAGTAGATTTTCTGGATTAGAGCATCTACTGGAAGTGCTGTACAGGTGGAGAGTTAGCATGAAGAGTCGCAGTGCAGTTATTACACATATATTAAGAATTAAGACTGAAAAAGGATAGAGATAACTCCCCTGTCAGCAGAACCAGAACTTGGTAAAATTACATTTTGGATTTTGCCCCAGACCAAGTTCATAGTGTTAGCTTCAAAACACAAAGCCCTTAATGGTTTAGGACCTCATTACCTGTCAGAGTGTCTTTCCTACAGAAATGCTGCCCTTTCCACTCAAGTCTTCTCAGACCTCCTACTTGAGATCCAACAAGCCTCCTCCATCCAGAGTTTTAAAAACAGCTTTTAAGAAAAACGCCTTTTAGACAATCCTTTAGAGATATTCTCCCCCTCAGTCAATGGACTGATTGATTAATTGATTGGCTGATTGATTGATTTGATTTGTATACCGCCCATCTGGCAACCAAGGCCACTCTGGGCGGTTCACATGGCACAATAAAACAGACAGTACAATAACAAAACGATGTATAAATTAATCAATACAATTTGAACAACCAAAAGTAATATTGATTAACATTAACATAAAAAGGGAAAGGGAAAGATGGCAGGGTTCCACTGTAAGTTGGATCAAGTTGGAATAGACCCTTTGAACCTGTATCACCCGAGAGCCACTGCCATTATATTGCTTTATTTGGTTTGTTTATTTGGTTTGTTCTATAAGTTTGAGGTTCTTATTTATTGTTGAGGAATGGGGGTGGGGGGTTTATTTGGTACTTTATGACTGCCCAGGGCAGTGGTCCCATTAAGCTGAGTGGGCAGTGGTTCCATCCATCCATCCATCCATCCATCCATCCATCCATCCATCCATCCATCCCTAGAATTACTCCAGCTAACTAGTTATGTGTAGAAGGCATTTTCCAATACTTAACCTTTCAAACCTCTAAGGAGAACTCAGAACGGACCCCCTGACGTATTTGTCAAGGAACACTGCCCCTCCTTCCCCTCCCCTCCCCTCAAAATACTCCAAAATGCTCCTCAGAATTAAGTAAGGAAAAAAAACAATGATGCTCAGCTACAGTCTGATGCTTACTGTTACAGTATCTGCATCTAAAGTATGCTGAGCTCCAGAAAGCATAGAAAGTCATTTTGGGGGCAGGAAGTGGTAAGTATTTTATTTTGGACACTAAGAGATTAAAAATAAAAGGACAGGAGGATGTGAGGCTGAAATAGATATTAAGACTTCCTTATTATTACTTGGAACTCAAACCCTTGTGGTTCAGACCAGGGATCATGCAACATTAGAATTACAAGTGTTTTCTCATTCCATGTGCTGTCTATAGCCTGAAGCACTGGGTGGTGGGGGTGGCGGAATGGATCAGATAAAAAGAAGTGATGGATATTTCTTTCTTAACAGGATGTCTAACTCAGACCAGCAGCTCTGAACCAGAAAAAAACAGAGCATATGTTATGAAATACGGTAGCAACAGTTCTTTGCAAAGCTTCAAAATTTACATTTGTGGGCTCCAGTTCCCAGAATCTCCCAGCCAGGATGCTAAGAAGCTGAAAAAGTATATTTACCAAGCTCTAATTATTAGTGAAATCATTTTCTTTGCTCAAAGGAATATAAAGACTGAAATTCTAGGATGAGCCTTTGTTAAGTAAATGTTCGGTGTGTTCTACTACCCTGTTAAGGGCAGGGCAAGTTCAAATGAGCTCAGTAGCACTTACTCCCAGGTAACTTGTACACAGGATCACCACCTCAGAGGAGTACAGTGAGGGCTAATCCAGTTGTTACCCCCAAGTACGTATTAAACAACAGGACTTACGTAACTCTTAACAGGCCTCATTCAATTCTTAAAATTGGAACAAAGCCCCAGGAACAGAGGACAGGGTACAAGCAGCTGGGGTTTGTAACCAGAAATGCACATAGTTGCCTATGTTTTTCAAAAGGCCATATCCCATGGTCCTTGCAACTTATTCAGCACAGGAAACCAAGTGGAAAATTACAAAGCCTCGTTAATTCTAACATACCACCTTTTGTTATCCCTCAAAGATGGATGTCCTCCAGGGAGCCTCCTAAGCAGGTCTATCCCAGATACAGTGGGGTCTCTACTTAAGAACGTCCCTACTTAAGAACAATCCAACTTAAGAACAGCTCCATTTGCTAAATTTTGCTTCTACTTGAGAACAGAAATCTAAGATAAGAACAGGAAAAAAAAACCTTTCCTGCTCTTTTTTTAACCTTAGGTCATCTTAGGTTAAAAAAAATTCTCCCCCTAGTGGTAGAGTATGTATTAACCAGCTTTGCATTAGTTCCTATGGCAACTAATGCTTCAATGTACGAACGCACCTCTACATAACAAAAAAACAGCCAGAACGGATTAATTGGTTTTCAGTCCATTCCTATGGGAAATCTTGCTTCAACTTAAGAACGTTTCAACTTAAGAACACCATTCCAAAACGGATTAAGTTCTTAAGTAGAGGTTCCCTCTGTAGTTTCTATGGACGGAAAAGAGGAGATACGGATTAAATGGTTTTCAATGCATTCCTATGGGAAATGCAGATTCAACATAAGAACTTTTCAACTTGAGAACCACCTTCCAATACGGATTAAGTTCTTAAGTAGAGACCTCACTGTACCTTAGACTAAGTAAATGAAGGATATGGCATTCATGGCTTTAAGGCTAAAAAGAGAAAAGAAAGGCAAGAGAGTCTACAGCATGATCTAGTCTATACTAACGATGGAGGGGGTATCTTATATAAAATAGAATAGAAGCATTTCAAATTGTTGCTATCTGGGCACCTCCCTTCCATTCTTTGTTTGACCAGAGTCTTCTTGTCTCAAAATAAGCACAAACGAAATCACAGACAGGGTCAGTCTTAGCAGCTTTTCTCTCGGCCAAGTTAGACAACCCAGGTATGCTGAAAAGAACAACTGCAGAAGGAATATGCTGCTATTGCAGCCTGGCCTCACACAGCAGGAGCTCTGTAAAATCTTAACAGAGAATCTGGACTAAAAGTGTTGCAGCTAAGCACATGTCAGTTTTATTTTTATTCTTTTTTAAACAACGAACAAGCACACACTGTCTGCTTCTTAACCCAAATTACAGCCATGTCAAGAAGACTAGTAATAAATGTCAGTCCATAATGTAAAATAAAAGAAAATAGGCAGGAGAAAAATTACCTAATATTATATTGCTCTGTAAAATTATGTACATATTCAGTTAATCTTAAATAATCTATTATTAGTACAGTACCACCAATGTATATGTTACTGTTACAGAGCACGGCAGCAAAACACTATGTTGTTCAATTAGGAGAAATGCAAAGGAGGACAATATGATGAGTAGGATCAACCAAAAACATAGAAGGTAGGCATTATCTGCTGAAATGTTGGTTGACTCATATAAAGAGTCAAAAGCAAAAGACAATAGTATAAGCAAACAACAACACAAGTTGCTGTCCAAAACGTACTTACAGTCTAAAAGAGCAAGCTTATACATACAGAATATACCCAGAAGTGAGACCCACTATATATGTTGGGACTACTTATTCCAAGAAAAGGACAAATATCTAAGTGCAAGTCCTATTCAGCTGATTTTGACAACCGAACAAAAGAGGAAATGTGTGATCGGTGGCTGTTTCGGGACATTTTGCAAGAAATGAGTCAGATTTCCTGGGCAAACTGGTAACTGGTGATGAGACATGGATCTACTGTTATGACCCTGAGACAAAGGAACAGTCTAAGGAATTGAGGCACCGTGGTTCCCTCAGGCCAAAGAAGTTCCGAGTGCAAAGGTCGGTGCAGAAGCAAATGGCAACAGTTTTTTGCGATAAGAAGGGAGTTCTGCTAGTGGACTATCTCCAACAGGGTTCAACCATCAATGTAAAATATTACTGTGCTTTACTGACGAAGTTGAGGCAAAACATCAAGGAAAAACGTCGAGGAAAGCTCTTCAAAGGTGTCATCCTGTTGCATGACAACACCTCGTCACACACTGCAGGTTAAACAATAGCAAAACAGACGTCCTTAGGCTTTCAAGTGATGCCCCATCCGCCCTATTCTCCCACCCTGGCTCCTTCTGACTATTATCTATTCCCCAAACTCAAAAAACACCTAAAGGGACAATGATTCAGGAGTGTTCTGGAGGCAACTAATGCTGCAAATGGGTGGTTACACCAGCAATCAGAAGAATTTTATTTGCAGGGACTTAAGAAGCTGCAGAACAGATGTCGCAAGTGCATTGACTTCCTGGGGGAGTATGTAGAATAGTGTGGCAGTTACAGCTTCCTAGCTCAATTTTTTTCTGGGAAAGGCTCAATACTTATCAGCACCCCCTCGTAGCTATCCTATTCCAAAATGGAAGCTTTATTTAAAGGACTGGGGAAAGTGGGAGAGGCAGTGGTACATACCTTGGCAATTTATGTATCTCACTGTAGATCCAGAAGTCAGGAGTTTGTTTATCCGCTGTGCTTTCCAAGGGCAAATGCAGCCATAACTGCATGGTATTAGAGTGTATCCCCAGAAGAAGAAAAAGTGCTGCTTATATACCACCCTGTAGTGATTAAAGAACTTTCTGGGTGGTTTACAATTTAATTATGCAGGCTACACATTGCCCCACCCACCCCCCAGCAAACTGGGTACTCAATTTACCAAGCTCAGAAGGCTGGAAGACTGAGTGAACCTCAAATCAGCTGTCTGGGATTGAACCCAG